AACTTTTGATGAGCACTTGATAAAAATGAGTTACCATAATGTTTATAGGTTTATTAAGAGATTGTGAATAAATTCATATAGTCAACACAGGTTAAAAAATTACACTTTTTTTTTGTGAAAGTTTACCTGTTTTTGAGATTTGAGATAAAAAGAGGATTTCACCATTTTTTAAGCGATGTAGCAGATATTTTTGCAGAAGTTAGAGGCAATTCGTACTACGTACATATAGTATATGGTAAAAATCTAATATTGTTTATTTCCAGGTGTTGCGACTCTTTTGTGGTGAGAGTGCGATATGAATAAAGCTCATACATATTTTTACAAATAATACTGTTTCAACGTCAAACTAGTGCCAGCGTGAATGAGTAATCATAAAATTCGTAATATTCGTTAATACTCATAACATTAACACTGCTTTCCAATCGTGGACGTGAAGAGAAATAAAGCAGCAACAAAGCATACCAATGAGCTACTACGCTTACCAAAAACATACGGGGAAGCACTTTTGTGTGTCGCTGTGTATTTTGATAAAAACCTATCAAACGACGAAAATACGAATAACGAAGCTTTTTTATAGTGGCGACTTTGTTAGTTTACGATAGCCTAGAAATATTTGAAGCGATAAGGCGGCTCCATGTATACATAAATATGTACACGCATACACACATACATCAGTTCAATTTTATTAAAAAAAACTTAAGTGAATTTAGAAGGATTGACTTTGAATTATCTAATAATAGATATGTTTTATATTGAAAAATTTTATATTTTTATTAAGCTTAAATTGAACGAGCATTTTAAACTACCTACTACAATTAACATTGTTAAAATATTGTTTGGGAACCCAATGAAATATTGTTTTAAAAGAAAAATGGTATATCTCGAGAAAAGTTGTTTTAATAAAATGCCACAGATATGTAATACCTACATGAATATGTACATAAGACTGCATCACCAAAAACAGTTGCAATTTTTCCACCGGGATTATATTTGAAGACATCCACCAAAATATTTCGGAAAAATATTAAGATTTACGTTGTGGGAAGAGCATCTGAAGACTTGCAACTTCACCTCTGGTGTGAGTAAGCTTTGGTCAACCGTGAGGTCACTATCCAAGCCGACAAAGCGCGACGCCAGAGTCGAATTATCTTACGGCGACCGCTCTTCGTCGGATCCGGAGCGATGCGCGAGCTATTTTAGCCGGCAGTTTACACTGCATCCTCTGGCGGGCAAAGCTAAACGTCGAGTGACCAGAAGGCTGCATAAACCGCCTCTTCTTTTCACTTGCGGTAAAGTTCAGGTAGCCATCGGGAAGGGGAAAGCCTCCAAAGCCATGGGACCCGACGGAATATGCATGTTGATGCTGAAAAATTTGGTTCTCAACCTGTCCCCAACCCAACCCAAACTGTGGAAGCCAGCCAACAAAGGACAGTCTTATGCCCGATAACCCGCCTTTCCCCGGTAGCGAAGATACTAGAGGCCTTGCTACTCTCATATTTAGCGAACCACCTGACCCCAGCCAAGCATTAACATGGTTTCCGTAATGTGCACAGCACAACAACAGCACTTAACGCCATAAACACTCAAATAACACGTGGCCTAAACCGCAACCGCCTCTGTAAGAGAACTATTCTAGTAGCGTTGGATCTGTCAAAGGCGTTTGATACCGTCAGTCACTCCACGCTGCTAAAAGACATATAGTCCTCCTCTCTCCCAAAGAGGCTCAAAAGGTAGTCGGCAAATTATCTGAGTGGTCGACTGTTTAGAGACAAATCGAGCAAATCTAGAAAAATAAAACAGGATGGTCTCCTTTCACCATTACTGTTTAAATACTATATTTCCAAGCTCGCTCAACCACCAGAGGTAGTATCGATTGTCTCTTACGCTGACGATTGTTCGATAATTGCGTCTGGGAATGGAATTGATGACTTATGCTCGAAAGTAAACGGTTACCTCTCCGAGATTTCTCGCTTCTTCACTGCTAGGAGCCTAACCCTCTAGCACTACATACTAAATTTTGTTCGAAAAAGGGTCATCTAAATTATTTCCAGAAAAACAAAAGCTACAAATTTTTTCTTTTCACAACGAATTTTAAAGTTGAAAACTACAATTATTGGCATAGTAACATATTGGATATCTCAATTCTATCGACTAGGTGTATGGTGTCAAGTTAGCACTACATACCATTTTTTCTTAAAAAACGAGAGCTACAAGTTTCACAACAAATTTACAACAAAACGGCTGCAATTAATGCCGTTGTAACATTTTCAATATCTCAATTCTATCGACTAGGTGTATGGTGTCAATTTAGCACTACATACCATTTTTTTTTAAACGAAAGCTACAAATTTTTTCTTTCCACAACAAATTTACAATAAAAAAGCTGCAATTAATGCCGTTATAACATTTCTAATATCTTATTTCAATCGACTAGGTGTATGGTGTCAAGTTAGCACTACATACCATTTTTACTTAAAAAACGAGAGCTACAAATTTTTTCTTTCCACAACAAATTTACAACAAAAAAGCTACAATTAATGCCGTTATAACATTTTCAATATCTCAATTCTATCGACTAGGTGTATGGTGTCAATTTAGCACTACATACCATTTTTTCTTAAAAAATAAAAGCTAACATTTTTTTCCACAACAAATTTACAACAAATAAGCTACAATTAATGTTAGGTTTTCCAATTTCGAAAAGTGTAGTGCTAACTTGACAGACGTAAAAACTTGAATAACTGGACCAAAACTATTCCGTTTTAGACTTATGAGGTATCAGTGGAAAGGTATTTTCCCACTCTTTTTATTTCTTTGCAAAAAACTCACTAAAGTTTTTTTAATACCTACAAATCTTGTTTTTGTTATTTGTTTCAAATCTTAATAAAACTTGGAATGATGTTCGTTCATCCTACCTTTCTCTTTCCTACTTTAAATTAGTTTATTTGCAATGAAATAAAGAGGGTGAGAAAATACCTTTCCAATGATACCTCATAAGTTTTTTTTATACCATTCTTTGAAAAATGTTAGAAAAACAGCATCAAAAATGGCATTGCTACGATTCCGTTGAAACTTTTTTTTAATATTGTTATGTATTTTTTTTTTTTAAGCTTAAACTGTTTTGTCATCTGAAACTATTTTTATCGATAAAAAAATCAATTTTTGTAGATATTTTCAAATCGGTCCAGCTTACGTAAATCTAAATACATATACACTGGTGGCCCGATAATTAGAAACGATTTTCTTTTTCAACTTTTGACCATCTATTTTTATTTATTATTTTTAATTTATTTTGTTAGGAAAATATAATGCATGCTATAACAAAAATCATATAACTCAAAGCTTTAAGCGAATCGCACATTAGTGCGATTATAATCCTCAGAGCCAAAAATTACAACAATGCTACCCACGATCCAGAAAATAATTCTATCATTCTTGAATGCTACCCATATATTTTAACGAGCTAGCGCACACTTGCACGATTCCGTCACTGCGAATTTTTCGAACATTCAATGTTCCTCTCCTTTGACGCGTTCGACACGCGGCTTGCAGCGAAGAAGAGGAAGAATAAATGCAAAAAAGAAAATTTTTGATGTACAAAAACTAATAGAAAACGTTCGTAGCAATCCTATTTTATATGATATGGACACGGCGAGTACAAAAATATAGGAAAAAACTTGCAATCAAGTGAATTGTATATATACATATATTGTACGCACGATTGCGGATTCGAAGTGAACAGCCGAATTCGCAACGTATTCGCAACGACAGAATCACGCTAATAAGATTTATAATATTTCGACGTAGTTCGAAAAATGGACATCAAAATTTCAGACTTTTTAACTGGAATTTCGAGAAATAATGCCGGTAATCAGTCCATTCAATTTTAGTATAATATTGTGCAAATTTCAATTAGCCCAAAAATCTCGTTGATGGTGGTGCAAAAATAAATAGGGACGCGACTTTTTAACAAGTTTTGCCTATTTCTCTTTTGTTTATTTAATATTTATAATTTTTTTATATATAAAAGTATAGTTCCGTTTTTTGTTGAGTTACGCCTGCGCGTATGTTTACTAATATCCTTAAACCGCTACTACTAACTAACAGCTGTAATTTTTTTACTGAATTGGAAATATCCATATTCAAAAAATCTGATAAATCTTATTGAAAAGTTGAAAATATGAGCTTATTTGGTTTTTGTTAGATATTGAACTATACTTACAAATAAATAATAATAAATATTAAATAAACAAAGGGAAAATTGGCAAAATTTGTTAAAATTCCTTATTTATTTTTGTATCTATTAGTTTAATCTAGGTATAATCTTATACATAACAAAAATCATAATTTGACTATGAAATTGGATTTATACTTTTTTCACTTAATTTAAACGTTATTTTATAATTTTAATTTTTTTCTGTTTACATATTTTCAGATTTAATTTTTTAGAACGCAGACTCTATTCTCCCAAAATTTATGAAAAGAAAGTTAAGCAGTACAAATAAGCAATGCATTTCCTACATGGAGGCCAGTGACGGGGAATGAAAGAAACCGTGTATGTATGTATATGCAAATTTTTCTATCAATGAGTTACGTATGTATGAATGTATGAATCTTTTTAATACCAAAAAAGCATTGGCAACAATACAGTTGCTTTCTTTTTTAGTACTGGGTATATTGTTTAATTATTATGCAAGCGCAATAATTTGTTAAGTAGCAATAAAATTTGATTATTGGGAATCATTATGCCGCGGTGTCTCTATTCTCATATTCGTAGTTAAATAATGATCTATGAACAAAGTAGGTGTAGGATAAATGTTAAAACATAACTATAGAAGATATAAAAAATACCTACAAATGTACCGGCAATTAGATAAATGTTAGTACATGTGTACATACCTATAAATAAACACATACGTTTAATATAAAATTTCCCTGTGTATTTAAACTTAGCATGATATATTAATGTACAGTTTATAGGGCTAAAAATTGTAACTCACCTTTCGTCTGCCCGTTGCAATACTATTCGACCAGCGATGTTCTCGCATTTCCTTCATCACAGCACCACTCCATTAAATAACATGATATTGCATGTATGTAGATTCGCTTTCAACTTTTTCTGTCAGCAACAGACTGCCATTCACACTTCCCGACTACTCTTCAGCAATATCTAGCTGCATAACCATTCTGGCATACTCATTGACTTAACATAAGACTATGTGGCAGCTACTAAGAACTATACAGCATATTCGTACCCCATATTCCTCAAATCCGTTCGATCGTTTGCCTTATACGTACTTATGTCTATATAGTATATGTATATAAATAAGCAACTAAAATACACAACGTTCTGGCACAGCTCATTCGTACAACTGTGCTAATCCAATATTACAATTGCACTTCAATCCATTAAACATGAGACGTAGTGCATTTATCTGTTAGTCTACACAGTTGTTGATGCTTTGTTTTCCCCCATTCATTGTGCATTACACCATGCGCCGCAATACTTTTTTGGCTGCTTTTATGTTTGGCACTAACGCTTTTACTTCACTGCAATCTTCTAAGAATGGATGCCTTAGTAACTCATCAGCTGTTGCACGTTTGTCGACCTCCACTTGCAAACAACAATCGAGGAAGTCTTGCAGATTAGGGCTTAATTTTTCCCAACTTTTAATATCTGGTCTGCCATTAGCAGCAATTAAATAGAGCGCGCGAAGAGGTGTCTCATAGAGATATGGTGGTTGACCTTCAATCATTTCTATAGCCATAATACCAATTGACCAGATATCTACTTTCTTTCCGTACTTCTTACGAGTTACAACCTCCGGTGCCATCCAATATGGTGTACCGACCATTGTTTGGCGTTTTTCGTCGCCCTCGATATTTGCACAGAAACCGAAATCGGTAACCTTCACCGAACCATCCATACCCAGAAGGACATTATCTGACTTAATGTCACGATGAATGATACCTTTGGAATGTAGAAAACTTATTGCATAAAGCACTTCACGACAAACGCAGGCGATCTGGCGTTCTTTCATAACAGTTTCAGTGACAACATCGGTCAACGGACCGCCATCCATATACTCCATTATTACCCAAAGTTGATCTTCTGGTTCAAGCAAATATGCATCCAGAAAGTTTACCAAATTTTTATGATTAAAGTCCTTCAATACTCGTATCTCGGTAAGGATGAGGTCTTTTGAAGACTGATTTTTTAAATCGATTGTTTTTACGGCAACCTGCGCTTCGGTTTGCAAATCTGCGGCTATGAATACAATACCCGATGCCCCTTTGCCCACTTCCTGTGTAGTGTGGTAGCGCTCGCGCGGGTCATCCATATTACAAATTGCTCGAAGCTCCTCATATATCTCAGCGTCTGTCTTTTGTGCACGTTTATCTTTTGAGCGACGCAAAATAGATTCGTCAGCAGGCTCCGCATCACCATCAGCTGCTGGAACGGCGGGCTTCAGGATTATAGTATCTGTGTTAATTTTGTTTAATGGTTCCTCTGTTAAATTAATAGCGGTGAGATCGGATACTCCACGCGAGAGCTGCTGGGTGACAGCTCGAGGTTTGGGTTTTAATACAGGCTTAGGCGGTAGGGTTTGCAATTTTTTGGCGGGTAATGGTGGGCGGTCGTCACCTGTGAATGTTGATATTGGTTTCAATGTTTCGCGTTGTGCGAGTAAATTTGACTCTAATTCTTTTATCACTTGATTTAAACCTGTCATGCGGATGGCTTGCTGGTTATCATTGAAGCTACTGCTATTGCTGTTGCCACTGGAGGAGGCACCACTCTCACCTGTCGAGCTGCCACCACCGTATAGTTCGTCGTCATCGGATTTATCGGGGTCATGTGACTTGTGCTTATTTTTATAGTTCACATAGTTGTCAATCTCTTTGGACTCCTCATGTATAGCCTCTTCAGTTATGAAGGGTTTAAATACGTCGTTGTCCTTTTTCTTTATGGAATAGTTGTAGTATTTAACTGCATGATAGGCAGCATCTGGGTTTTTATCCTGTTCATCGCGGGTGATCTGCGCATTCATAAGCCTTGTCCAAGATGCTGGCAAGCCCTCCAGATGTCCAGTCTCTTCATTCCGGGATACGTGGTAATGCCGCTGAAAATTGGTAGGATTTCCAATTTCAGAGATGGGTTCCTTCTTGCGAAACCAACCCTTCAGACTTGTAAAACTTGTCATTTTGACGGTATTTGTGTGGACGATTTGGAATTTATATATTTATTGGGGGTGTTTAATATTGATATCTATAAACAGTCTATGAATGAATTATTGCATCTGATTATGGTAATTGCAAGTCGCCTATGTGGGGTGAGTGTGTGTTATGTTGTTGCTACGCTACTTTGCTGCTGGCTAGCGCTGCCTCTGCTAGCGCGATTGCTTACAAAAGTGAGTGACTCATGCAGAGCTTTTGAACGCTCTGCGCCGGTGGCACATATGCTATACGGATCAGTGAATCGTACGGCTTGAAAATACTGCTTCGACCTCGCACCGCACTTCACTGCATTTCCTTCTATTCTCTACCTACTTTTTTCTGAGGGACTTTTGACCCCAACTCCAGGTATATTCTTTACTTAAACTTTTTTTACTTCGTGCTATTTTCCAGCTTTATTTTCTGGGCGCATTCCACTCGTGCTTAATTTTACCGAGCGCTTTAATTAATCACCAATTACGTTTCAATTATCTCACTCAGACTTGTTTCTTCATTCACTTGAATTTCACACGCACTCGTTACATGTTTCATCTACTTATTTTTCGGCTGCATTCACTTCACTTTTCATTGCATTTTCGTGCATTCAACTGACTTCGTTCTGGAATTTTTTACATGTACTTTCTAGCTCGCCATCCCGTACTGTAGATCCATTTTAATTATCGCGTTTTCCGTTCACTATTTCTCCGGGCACTTTGTCTCCATTGTTGGCATATTCGCCTTTCGCATAAAGGAGTGGCACTTCACTTTCCTTGCTTCTCTTATTTTTTTTTCATTCCCCTTGGAATTCCTATTATAAAATCTTTCTTCTCGCTTCCTGAAATTTTTTACCCTTTTGTTGTACGTTTTGTTTATTTTTTAGTTTTATTTATCTTGAGAAGCACAAGGAATTTTCATATTTTGTCTTGGACGTTTTCGGAACTCTGTCATCACTTCTCCGCACTACTACACATTTTTCAATTGAATGTCGACGAACGACATGAACCGCCAGCTGTGTATTTTAGCTGCTGCCATTATCAGGGTTGCATTGAGGAGGCAGTATACATTAAGAAAATTTTTCTTTGTCAACGTTTCAAATGTTTTAATAAAACAAGTATATAATAGTATTTTCTGCGGATTTTCACAAACTTGGTGATCGGCAGTTTTTCCTAATGTAGTTTGTTTTTAAAATATCTAACACAAACGAAATACATAAGGGAAAGTTAGCGAATACCGCGTTGCGGAGTAGCAACCTTGATGTGAAGATCCCTTCTTAAAGTAGCCAAAATTTATTTTTGGATCATTTGCATGTGTTTTATCAAGGCAAATTTGTACAAGGTGGTATAACTGGCGAATTTAGATTTTCGCCGCGGTCCTTTTAAATGTCAAAATAATGTGCTTGTTGTAATATCAATACGCCCTGTTTACAACAAACACATCTTTTGACATTCAGAATGACCGCTTCGAAAATCTAAGCTCACAGTAACATACCTTGTATAAATTCGCCTTATGTTTTATTCTAATATTCTTTTGAACTAGCAACCCTGACGTCATTTGGTAGTAAGCCTCTGCCACTCTAACCAATGGTATGTGTTCTATAGAATTTTTATGCCGAGTACATCTCCCGCTCTAATACAGAATTTGTCGGTAGGGCAGTTTTATGATAATAAAGCACCCTATACAGTTCAATGGGAGCGTTGACGTGAATCTGTTTTGAAAAATACTTTTTTCAAAACTGTCAAAGGTATACTGCTTGTATTAAAGCGCAGTTAAGGCTCTGTTATGCATACTTGGCATTGCATGCACTGCTATACCATTTTTACGTAGAAATCAAAAACCAACAGACTTTTACGTATGTAATGCTGTGCGTTGGGTAACCGCTTACACGCGAAGCTCATTTAACAGATTCCTTATGTGACAACGCTCAAGCAATGCCAAGTATGCATAACGGAGCCTTTAGGCAACGAAAACTCACCTCCAAGGTGTGTTTAACAACAAGGTTCATAGAATAGAAGGTTACGACATGGTACTGTCAAAAATTTGTTTCCTCCAATGACGTAGTTGCGAAGTGAGTTCTGATTGGCTGAAATATTTTACGAAGAAAGAGAGTATACAAAACACAGAAAATATAGTTGCCGTATAGCATATTTTAGGAATGCTTATCAAATGGGCATTTTTGCTATAAAATCGTGGCAAAGCTTATTACAACAACATAAAATGTTATAACTTCACGTGAAACTGGATTAACATAATAATATTCGTAAAATAGTGACAAATGAAATGTAAATCGAATGCAAATTGAAATTTGCTGGGGATTTTATTCTTGAAAGTGAGCAGAACGCACTCGCGTATTTTTTAATAAAAAGCGTTCATAACATTGCAAAAATTTCGCTACCGCAATTGCAATTCATCTTTTGACATACGGTAAACCCTAAATTACCTTTTTCGGTGTAATTTTTGCAATCAAAAACAGGGCACTTAATTTTTTTAATAATTTAAATAAACTCAAAGACTCAGAAAAAAGCACAAACTTCGACGCAAATTGTCAAACGGTAAATATCAGAGTTACACATATTTGAAATAAAGCTTGATGTATTTTTGACTAAAATAGTGTATTTTTATAAGATAATTTTTTAGGAATCTGGCAACTCCAAAAATTGAGCCATCTACGTCATCAAGATGGCGGTCATGGCTGATGTCTTAACCTTGTATTCTATGAACCTTGATAGAATACTGCATCGTGCTGTTCGCTACATCGTGGCGTCGAGATTTCAACAGCTAGAAAATAACATTTTTCTTGCTTTCCTTCTTACGTGATCTTGTATCATTCGTTCATGCGTTAACCCATGATACAAATATTTTTTTCCGGTTGTTCAATGTCTGGTTATAGCTTAAATTAGTCAAGAACGTAAACCTACCGGGACGTAAACCCGAGTCAGGTGACATGATCTGTCTCTGAATTTTTCTGTAGTTGTAGCCCGTAGCGCAGAAATCTTCGGAATTTAGATTTTTCCGTGTCAGCTGATTTCTTCCTTCTATAGATGGTTCCCACTTCGTTATAATTTCCTATTCAGAATACGTTTAAAATATTTGAAATTTAGGCTGTGTGCGAGTTGACCTAAATTTTAGTACCTAAACTAATATTCCACTGGAAATTTCCAGCACTGCTACAATTTAGGTAAACAGCTGCTAAACCTGTGCGAGTTCGTTTGACAACCTAAATTGTTTGTTTTGGAATTTGAACTTGTTTGCTTTTAATAAATATATCTATAAAATTAATAATTTTGTGGTAGCTTTGGGACTATTTAACAATATAATAAAGTTGCAACAGAAAATGAGAATGCCCCATCCTGGCATCTATAAAAGAATCCGTTTGCTCTTCTGACCCTGCGAAATAATATACATCCATCGAATTACACATATACTTATCTGAATGCAAAAATCAAATAAATTACTGGAGCCCTCAGTGTTGCTTACTACAGTGTTGCCACTCATCAATGCCTTTTCATAAACTTACCTTTTCAACTACAATCTTTCGTGCTATAATAGATCGTAGCTAAATATAAACTACTTAGTTTTCAACAAAAAACTTTATTCAATAGTAAATTTCAAATATTTTAATAGTATTTTGAATAGGAAATTATACCTTTTTTACCATTTGCGAAACTGACGAAGTGGCAACCATCTATAGAAGGAAGAAATCAGCTGACACGGAAAAATCTAAGTTCCGCAGATTTCTGCGCTACGGGCTACAACTACGGAAAAAATCTGCGGTGTTGAGTTTTCATTTACATGGCGCTCATAGATTGCTTAACATCTAGAAACTAAAAGAAAGGCGAATTTTCGTCGGACTCATCTACAGTCGCGAAAATATAAATGGGGAATAGACATTTTAGCATACAAATTCGCGATAACACACAAAAATTAAGCATAAAAAAGTTAATTATTACATCTTGTTGCGTGCTTTCAATTACATGCGGTTATTGACAAATTGGAAACACGACATCGATGCAGCTATATATTCCGCTTCATCGCCGCCATTCTCATTGATGAACTTTTCTGAAAAAATTTAATACATTTTTAATTGAATGTTAAACTAAGAAAGGATAAGGAGAACTCATCATTTGAAGACTCGAATGCTCCACCGATTAGTGCAGCGGGTCCTGGATTGGATTTTTTTTACCGCATCGGTTTTATTTAATTTTTTCTTTTAATAATATATTTAAAAAAAACGTAAACACGTCACTTACGATTGAAAAAACGTTATATTTACTACTTCATGTCGTTGGCATTTGCATTTCATTTATAAGATTAAGGTCCGGTTACTCAATGTCTGGTTAACACTAATCTCTGGTTAAACATCTTTATCGACGTTACCGACTCCGTTATATGAATGGAGTCGAATACGTCGATAACTATGTTTAACCTGACATTAGGGTTAACCAGACATTGAGTAACCGGCCCTAAGTTATTTATAAACATTCGCTCTCAAAACTTATTAAAGGTTTATTTGAAAAAAACTTTTAATAAGCTTAATATTAAATGCTTAATTAACGCTTATTATAGCAAACTTACTTTAAATTATTTTTAAAAACATTTACTGAAATGTTTGTTGGGAATAACAAACAAATGAAATGAAGACGAGAGAAATTTTCAAAAATGCGAGCAGTAAAAATTCCAAAAGCTGGCTCTCAGCGATTGTACCTTACAAATATTTTAATCATCCTTGGTGGAACGGCTGAGAGGAATTTTTACAATTCTTGACGTTTGCAAGCAATTCAAATATACTTACATGATTGTTCGTATTAAAAGAGCTGCGTATTGATTTAAATTGCTATAAATGTAAGGCACACCCAAAATGAAGCATTATCTTTTACATGATATATTATATGCAGTTGGTCCTTTAAGAAACTAAGGGCCGGTTACTCAATGTCTGGTTAACACTAATCTCCGGTAAAACATCGTTATCGACGTTACCGACTCCATGTTTTATGCATGGAGTCGAACACGTCGATAATGATGTTTAAACGGAGATTAGTGTTAACCACATATTGAGTAAACGACCCTAAGTAGGATGTTGCTTTATTTCGGATTCTAGGGAAGCGGAGTAGAGTGAGGGCCGGTTCTTCAATGTCTGGTTATCACTACCACTACACTATCGACGATTTCGACACCATGCATGTAACATGTGATCGATAAAGCAGTACTTGTGCTTAACCGGAGCTTCTACCTCCGATTTGTGCTAATCAGACATTGAACAACCGGCCCTCACTCTACTCCGCTGGTATCGCGTTTCGCTCTAATTGGGCACATCCGTTCCTCCGGTTGAAATCTTCCGCGGAAATGTGCTGGGAACAAACAAACGATACTCATTTGCAGTTAAAATTGTATGTTAGTTTTTTCTTAATTTCTTCTGTTATTTTTGCAGCTCCTAAATATGCAGCTCATCTTACCAAAAAACAATAAAAAAAATTAACAACAGTAAATGCATATTTTATGTGAATACAATGTAATGTTACAATTACCAATGAGCTCACCAAAAGAATAACAGGAAAAAGTAAAGGAACGCAAAAGTCCAAAGAATGGCTACAACAAAACTAACGTCAAACAGGAATAGAAATGTATGTACAAAACACATTCACACAAGCAGAATCACAATTATATCAATTATTTTTTGCCTTCTTCCACTTTCAATTAATTTTTTTTTTACTTTTTAGATTATTCTCACTTTTTGTGCATTTTTTAATTTCCGTCAATTTAAATTCAGTTGAGTTTGACACTTTTCAAGATTTTGCCAACAAAAATTCTTCGGACTAAATCTGACTACTTCGGACTGAAGAGAGTCACTCTCACTTAGTGTTGCTCTCTTATTTTTGCTGCAGAGAGGATTTTTGAGAATAACTTTTGTGTGACGTCACACTGGTGCAATTGCGAGAGAGAAATGCCAAAACGTGAGCAAGAATGGAAGAAGAAGAAAAAATGTTGCAAGGAAAACGTAAACAAGTTGCACCAGTGTGACGTCATGCAAACAATGCAAACACCGATTCTGTCAAATTCGTTAAGAGAGGAATAGCATCCCGAGATCGGCGCAACCTTTGTATTCTCTGAATCGTGTGTCATTTTCGATTTAAGGAACGCTTTTTGCACTAAATCTGACTACTTCGGACTTTTTCGGACTATTTCTGGGAGTTAAGGAACGCAACTACTATGTTTTTATCATGATTTTGATAACACTCTCTCGGAATGATTCAAATGTCAAATAAATTCAAAACAAACACATGAAAAATTATAACTTAAAAATTTATTTATTCAAATATGGGAAAAACTTAACAACTTAGAAAAAAAAAAAGTTGCTGCTTTAGCGACTGCCCAAATTCCGTAAAAATGCAAAACTCTAGACAAACGGCTTTAAGGTTTGAGTTACATTATTCACAGAGGCCCTAACCAAGAAATTCTTTATTTTACAGGAGAAGCAAAAATTATTATAAAAAGAGTATCAAAAACAGGTAGGGATTTTTAAAAACTGACATGCAAACTCTGTTGTCGCTATTTTTTGGATTATGACACTATTGAAGTAAATGAGCAATACGAATTTCTGTAGCTTTTCGGTTTCAATGAGTAAATTATACGCACCATCGACAATTTTACTTCCTGATTGGGTTAAAATCCGTAATATTCTAGCTAGTCCTGTTTTCTGCGTTTAGGCCATACATAGAAAAATTCGAAAATTCCCTTATGTCCTTAAATTTTCAATTCAACATCAAGTTTTTTCACAGTGCACTGCTGTACTGTCGACTATGCAGTTTGCATCTATTGCGTACGGCTTGAGAAACGGAAAAGAACAAAGTAAAAGGAAAACGGATTTCGCTGATTCCTATATCCGGTACTATTTGAAACAACAGCATATAACACTTGTATTGAAAATGTATTTTGTGTTATAATATGCAATTGCATAATTTTGTCTTTGCTATTTATGAGGGAATTGAAAACAAGAGGTCAACAGAGCTAGGAGTAAAACATCCGCTATGTTTTGAGTTCCGGTCGCTTACCGAAAAATTGTATGGGAAAGCAACAACAAAGTTAGCTAGCAGCGATGGACGATGGCGAGTTTGGTGGCACCTCATTGAATTCGTTCGTTTCGCCACTCGCAAACTGTTGCGAATCGATGGCGGCTATTATTTTTTTGGGAATTCAATAGATCGCTTATAACCGATTTTTTTTTTACTGTAATTAGCATTTCTCAAGCCGTTGCACGTTCACCATTTTATGACTGCCTGCAACAGTCGTAACCGATACATTGACTAAAATTTTATCCGGTATTTGGTACAAGTTGAGTTAGTAATGCAGTCATACTAAGCTAATCGGGGTCTTCCACTTTTGGATATCGCCTTTGGTTTCTGAGATATTGAGTAAGAAGTATCGTTAATTTAGAAAAAATTTTCGTCACATTTTGTCGTAGGGCATGCAAATGGGCTGCAAAATTGTTAACCAAAAAAAAATACAATAATTTAAGAACTTCGTAACCTAGTACCATTTCCGAGACTTTGGAGAAAATCTATCGTCACGTTTTTGAGAAATCGCATTCGAAATTTCAATCGCGATTTCCCAAAACCTGCCGAAAATCGCCATTGAAGTTAGGAATACAATTTCTCAAAAACGCGAAGATAGATTTTCTCCAAATTCTTTGAAAATGTTACTAGTTCACACAACTCTTAAATTATTTAATTTTTAATGTTTATTGCTAGTTAGTTTTGAGTTTACGAAGGATTTTCTTTAGTAAAATTTTGTCGTAAGCGTCATTTGTCCACAATTTCTTTGTATGAAAGGAATCAAAATGTGATCAAAATTTCTATTAAATTGACGGCGCTTTTTACTCAATATCTCGGAAACTAAAAGAGATATCCGAAAATGGAGAACACCATTTTTAAGACATTGATTAGCTTAATATGACTGCATCACTAACTAAATTTTTACTAAATTATCGAAAAAATTGTAGTCAATATCTCGGAAACTAAAGGCGATATCTAAAAACTGATAACACCAATCGAAAGACCTTATTTCAATATATATAACTGCATCTAGAACTAAAAATCGTAAAAATTGCGCTCACGACAATCTTTTACCCAAGCGACGATATGTGAATGGACATCCGTCTACAACGAGTCATCCTAAGAAGTTCTTAATTTTTAATGTAACATACATATGTATGTACATACATACGTTCAAAGATATATTTGTATGGATACAAGTTCAGTATTCCCTATGAGCAAATCAGCAATTACGATATCAAGGCGCTTAAAGCATTCTTAACATCTGGAAGAGATTAAAGTTTCGCACGTAATTAAATGTGCTTGGGCCGCCCATCAATACATATACTGCTAACATATGCATGTACATATGTGCATATGTATGTAAATATAGGATGAGGGTACATGGAGATACATGCATATGTATGTATGAATGTAGTATGTACAAAAGTATGTATGTATATGTACATACTACATATAAAAGCATTTATTTTTATTTGACTATTTCAACAGTTTTCTGCACAATATGCGCCATATGGAGCAGCTTCAGATAATTTAAACTTGAAGATCATCCCATTAAAGATTTAGTTCCTTTCTTGAGTTTGATTTGAACACTTCAACTATGCGGACATACAGCGTGTACATTATAACAGTTGTGAGACTAGATTTATAATTAAATATTCATATTTATTTAGTTTTATGTATGCATTACCCAAATATCAGAGACTAATTAACATATTTACATACATGCATACATACTTTTCAGATTTTATGGAGTACCGTTTTCCTGTTCTCCATTGTTCACTTATTGCCAGTCAACGCTGCAATTCTAACGAATTCAACTACTGCGGATTTGTTAGTTAATTTATCAACTTCATCAAATGATTGCGGCAATACATTGCAGTTGGATCATCTCAATCACGCCCTGAAACAAATCGATGGCGCCGTGCAAAATCTAGAGGAAAAGGCGCACAATTGGGCCATCTTCCGCCACCATATTGATGCTTGGAATGACCAAATAAAGTCACTGGAACATAAACTAGATTTAGTTAAGCGCGCACAGGATGAACAGCAAGCATATGGAAATAAATTAATCAGTTTGGAGTTCACACTCAACCACATACTAAGCAAAGTCGTATATCTAAGTGATGCCTGTAATACGCACCAGGGAACCGTCGCCTATCCCTCTGCTGCCATAAGGCCACCTGTAATGTTCAACGCCCATATGAACAGCAATGGCAATGACAATGACAATGGCCGTGATACTACGCAACAACAGCAACAAAAACAAGATACCAATGAACTGCTGTACGAGCACATCGCGTTGCTGGGAGACGTAAAACATGCAATCGGCATAGACAAGCAACTGCGCGGCGAGCTATCGACACGTTTGAGCAACATATTGCGCCATGTGCAGAACATTGAACGCGATAATTGTGGTGGAGAAAGACGGCATTTCACATCGAATGCGAAAGATAAAGCCAACGGCCACAGCAATGGCAATGCCAACAATAAAATGGGGAAATTAATGGCGCCAATAGGCGGTTGCAATTCAAATCAAAATATCGAACGTGCTTTAAAATCGTTAGGTGAACAAGTATCAACACTTAGCGCACAAACATCAACGCCAAAAGAATCAAAGCAATTGCATACGTTGACTAAGAAAAATTCTCAACAATTAGAAAATGTAATAAATTTCTTAAACAAAGTTGATGAGCGCCTATTGCAGTGGCGTGATGAAAGTGCGCTCGGCTGGCACCAATGTCAGGCTATGTCCGGCGAACTGTCCACTTTTACTGAAAGCTCAGACCTGCTGTTGAAACGTATCGAAATGTTGGTGCATGAAGTGAACGAAAAACTGGCCAAGCAACCGGTGGCGAAATCTGGCAATAAAGATGATGAAAACGATGGTTCCTATGAAGTAGAAGATGTCGCTGCTGTTGATGATCATCGGGCTGATGAGGAAGGTAAAATAGATGATAGTGGTGAGGTTGTGTTGACCAAACACGTAAATGGCAACATGGTACCAACTAAAAATGTTGACGTTGAAGAGCAGACGGAGAAAATAGATGATCGTTTCGACGTAATCGGTGAGTACACATTTCTTTCAAAGTACATAGTTCTAAGTAACAAAGGTTCAATTTGGCCTCAATTCACCTTAATTCGTAAAGGCGCTAACCAACAATTTTTTCGAAACTGCATTTTTCACACATTTAAATAACACATAAACATAAATAACACATAACATTCAAATACACCTTGGAACCGTCGAAACCAAAAACAACGGAGTTACAATCCACTTAAAAAAAAAAACGTACCTGTTTTTGATACTCATTTTATTATGTTTCTTGCTTCCGTAAAATAAAAAATTTTTGGTTAGGGTCTTTGTGAATTAATGTGACAATATAGTAGTTAGTTCCAGCCATGATAAAAATATAGTAAGGTAGAACCGCTGAGAGTCACTTTTAAAATTCTTGACGTTTCCAAACAATTTAATTTTTAAATTTACTCACAAACTCACACACACATTTTCATTTTCAATCTCAAGCAACAACAATTTCGAACAATTTCAATTTTTTATTTTCACTTTTATATGATTTTAAAATGTTGGCAAACTTCAAAAAAAAATCATGGCCGACAAATTGAGAGAACGGTTCTACCTTGCTATGTTTTTATCATGGTTCCAGCAAATAAATTTGCAAAAATTAAAACCCATAGACGGCGCTGGAGCCGAGTGGTTTAAAAAGTTCGTTTGACGGTCCGATTTGGCTCAAATTCGGGGAATATATATATATATATATATATATATATATATATTGATATATATTGATATATTGAGATTGATTTGAAGAAACATGGCAAGTGTCAAATGATATAAAAGTGCGCAGTTAAATCAAAAATGTAAGAACAAAATTAAATTCATTTGAAAAAATACAATGAATAGAAAAAAATTATCAAAGAGAAAGCCCACAAATAGTGGACATTTTAAGTACAATTGATAAATAACCCTTGAAATTGATTTGAGAGTTAAAATTATTTTCAAACAGTGATTAAATTGATGGTACAATTGTACTTTTTTGGTACATTTTGGAAGCCAAAAGTACATGGTACTACATTGACATTTTCGATACATTTTTGTCAAGATACGGTACTACACTCTATTTACTTGGAGTTTTGAATTTTTGTGCGCAAAAATATAGTCATCTTTTTCTACCTTATTTAAGTAAATGCGGGGTGTTTATTAAAAACGAAACTCTTACTTAAATAAAAAAAGTTTCTGTCATAATAGGTCTATTCATAAAATTTTCCAGTAAGTACTAGCAGCCAGAGAATAAAAGAATCATAGCGAGTAAAATTAAGGGGAAGACTAAAATATCAGAAAAAGTTATTGAACGCAGTAAAACTTACGCCATTCTGACTTTCTGATAGGTAAGTAAGTTTTTTTCTAACAAATATTTTTGATACCACATCATGAGACATTCAAAAATAAAATAATCTCCTCCAAGCACCCTTCTTGTTTCACAAAAATTAAGTAGATATAGCTACAAATGTGTCTTTAAAATTATCCCATTTTCGGTTTAACGGTCAACTGACAAATTTGGCCAGAACCTTTCAGCACTATTATCTATTTTGGTATATTTCTCAATATTTTGCGTAAATTCCGGCCAACAAATAGTTTCATCCACAATTGAATAATTTTATACGGCACGAAAATTAGAAAATTTGAGATTAGTAGTAAATTAACTAAACTAAACTTTTCTTCCTTTCTTTTGTTTATTCACAAACACATGTTATGGTCAGCAGACATTTCCTTGTAAGTTTTCGCAGGTAAAATTTTTTCCAGCAGAAATTGGCAGATCTGTGTCATTTTGCGCTCTCGATTTCCCCCACTTGCAAGATTTTAGGTACGAGAACACTGCTATTAACTTGTTAATTTCTATAAAAGGAATTATTTTCCAAAATATTTTTATAAAAATTCCATTCCGTTAAATGCAACGGTTTTATTTTTAATTTTTGTACTACTAGCTGTTAATAAGTATAACTTGTATGCTTTTCTTGATTACCTTTGCGTTTTGGTGGCCTTTTCAAACAAGTGATTTGCGCTTATGTGTTCCACCTTCGACACACCTTCGACACGCCTTGTTTTATATCATGATTTTTATATAGAAAATCTATATATATATGTAACTATGTATGTATGGTCTTTTAAATGTTGGTACTTTTTCGGCTTATTTAGTACACTTTTTTTGGCCATTTGGTACAAAATTAAAAAACTCATTTATCATCCCTGTCCTCAAATAGAGATCAAACTCCCCTTTTTATTGAGAAATCTGTTATTTTCAAATCAATATCAAAGCATTTTCAAACGCTTGACATTTGAGAAAGGGCTTTGATTTCAAATCGTCCTCAAATGTACATCAAACCTAATTGTTTGCTGGGATGTCAGGCAAATTATGATGGGAATATTGAAGAAAAATACAAACTCTGCAGCTACACATACTCGAGGCATGCTGGTGTACCTGGAAATAGGGAAACATAGGAAAAACAGAGAATTTGGGGAACCAAAAACTCCTGCTTATATGATGGCAGTGTTAGGAGCCCCGCATAAATTTTCGAAGTGTTTGGTAGTTAAAACTATTTGCACTCGCCAAGAGATCGCGACCATTTAGAAAAATGTCGAGATATGTCTCGTGAAATCTATCTCCTGGGCACCACAATAGAAGGGCCTGTTCGAGGCACGTAATAAAAGCGGCAATACTGCAGCACTGATGCAAATTTGCTATACTGTTGCAACTTCCCACTTGATAAAACGTTGCTAGAAATTCACACCGAACGTGATACTTTAATAAGTCGCGCAACACTGCGCTTGTGATTGCATCTCGAACAAGCCCGAACTCTTAACCAGAGTAGACTCGTTTAACCTAACCTGTACCCGATTTACCTCATATTTACATACGTATTTCCAAAATAGCACGTAGAATACATTGTATAACAACTAAAGCAGATACGACTCGGGAATGAAAAAGTAGCATACATATATGTATGTTTATACCAATGTATCTCAAAGGCTTCGATAAAACTTTTCGTGTATATACAATCGATTAGGAAGTGTAAAATATCGGACGCTTTTAAATTTCTGTAATTACTGCCGCCCAGCTTTCATTTTCAGGTTCAGGACAAGGATTGGCTATATTGCGTATTTATGTATGTATACATCTTCTAGATTTCCTACAACCCGAAAAAACTGCCTGTCACGATCTGAATGCCCCACCAGTCGATGGCGTTTACAAATTCTTTACACCAGAATTAAATGAGGCGGGACGTGATTTTAACGAACGATATTGTTCCTTTGCCACTGAGGGCGCAGCTTGGACCGTTATACATAATCGTGGTCCATATGATGAGCACGAGAACTTCAATCGTTCATGGGTGGACTATAGAAATGGATTTGGTGAGTTGAACAAAGAGTTTTGGTTTGGCAACGAATTCATACATCAGCTGGTTGATCGAGATGACTACGAACTGCGCATTGAATTAACCGATTTTGAGGAGGGTAAGCCTATAATAGAGTAACAATTTATGAAATTTCGTACTCATTAACAAGTTTTTATGTAAACTATTAGCACACGTATGGGCCGAATATTCATTCTTTCGCTTGGACAGTGAGCGTTACAACTACAATTTACTGATCGGTGGCTATAGCGGCACAGTACCCGATGCAATGCATTATCACAATGAAATGGACTTCAGCACCTATGATCGACGCAACGACAAAAGTGTGGATGCATGTTGCGCATGTGCCACTGGTTATGCGAGTGGTTGGTGGTTTGACAAGTGAGTGTGTAGGTGTAGGATATTAAATAAATATTTATTAATACATGCATGGGTTTTAGTTGTTCGGAGGCGAACTTAAATGGTATTTATCGTGAAACACCAAGCGGACACAATTACGTGGGCATCATTTGGGAGCAATGGCGTGGTGACTACTCTCTACAAAAGGCGCGCATGATGATAAGACCGAAGAATTTGTCGACCGAGGAACAGTTAAAGCACAGCGAGCGTCGCGAACGCAATGAAGATCCCTGAAAATTATTTGGGAAGAGGAAGCAAAAAGCTCGTTGATATATCAGCAAAACGAATTGAATAGTTTACTTATAACTAACATACATATGTGTGTAGTATATATTTTGAAACATATAAGTGTGTATGTGAATTTCCAAGAATCCTAATAAAAATAAATGCTGAAGCGGCTGTCAAGTAAAAAATCGATGGTTTTTAATTTTTTATAATCTTTACAATTTTATTTGACGTGAATAATTTTTAATTATTTATTGAATCTATATACATATATATATGTATGTATACATATGTATGTGTAAGTAATGTTTATATACCATATACATATATAATTTTTACTTGTCCATTCTTCAAATTTACTTCCTTTTACTTTTCACAATTTCACCAAAAGTAGGACATTCGCTCGATCGTTAATTACAGAAGTGTTATTTACCATTATTATTTATTTCTATTATGCGCATTTTAAATTTTGCATTGTATGTATGTATGTATATGGACTATACACTGCATTTATTTGTATGTATGTATACATATTACATAAACACTCGCTTGCATTGTGCAGCCGGCGTTTTAAATATATGTAAGTATGTGTCTATCTTTTATGTTTAGCAAAAAATTAAATTAGCATTTCTCCTCATTGATAGTTTTGTAATGACTAAAAATAATGCAGCCTAACTGCTTATAACTATGTAAATACTAACTTCGTACTCATTCATACTCATAGTCATACCCATGCATGCATATAATAAGTACATACATACATATCATTCATACAATGAGTTAAATTTTTTAAATCTACATACATACATATTTTAATTTTTAATTTTATAACAGCTCTTCTTTACTTTTTTTTATTTCCTTCAAATTTAAATCTGTATTACGTTTTAACATTTATGCCACCTAATGACTAATGAATAGTACATGTAAGTGAAAACAATGTATTTTGCAAAAATAAAACAAAAACTGCGCACATTTTTGAAGCCTTTTTAGTTGGAGTATAAAATATTACTGACTTTTACTTTTTATGAGTGAATTATTTTTGCTATTGCTGAATCATAGCATATATGTACATATGTAGGTATGCAAGTTTGCATTATAAGTAGGTCCGTAACCATTCAGAGCCAGTGATTCCTTTTTTGTAGATTTATTGAAAAAGCGGGCAACGATGGATTGAGCAACAGCCCTGTATACATTTTATTAAAAAATTATATGCTATAACCATCTCAGTTCTTTACTTATAAAGTTCAAAAGTTTTTATAGCCTGAAATCGTTAGAATTTTCAGGTTGATTGACTCTTAACTCATTTCCCAAATTTTTTTTTAGGTTGGACTGTATTAGTCTTTTACCCCATATTTTCTTGAATTAAACGGCAAAGAGAGAACAATTATTTCCTCCAAATTCAATGCAATACAAAACAAATTTTCACCCAATTTGATTCCTTTTGCTTCGTAAAAACACATGTGTTCCAATAGTAAAACGCAATAATTTCACTTTTTGTGTGTTTATTCATATTTTAAAAATAATTGCTTTAACCCATTTCGGTCGTTTCAGAACAAAACGCAATATGTACAAAGATAAACTTAAAGATTCTCCTAACTATTTACATAGTTTACTTCAAATCTTGTAGGTATGTAAAATCAGCTTTTTCTAATAATCTTGGTGCGATAGAGTAAATTGTGCACAAATATATGCAATTCCTTCGTTACTTATTGTTAACAAACTTAATAGCAATTCGTTCAACAGATAAACATTTATTACACCGATAATCCTCAACCTCATAAAGATTCTATGACCTTAACAAAATTGCAGTGAATACTTTTTCCATTCCGAAAGTAATTAATTCTTAAACACTCCTGCCATATTTTTGAAACTACATATATAGTTACATAACCAAATGGATGCTTAGGGGAGTTTTATGTTTCTATAAAATTAATTAAATGCAGCAGGTGATATTTGCAAATGTACATCAATCTGACGTTAGTTACACTTTGCCCATTTATCCACAAAACTGTTAAAAGTGAAATTTTTGCGTTTTATTATGGAAGCTACTCCTATGTGAAGCCTATGGTTTCCTCACATTTAAAAAAAAAAACATAAAAGAAGTACTTTCGACCCCAGTGACACGATTTATGCGCCTCTAGGCAAAACATCAATTCTTGAACAAAGTTTTTTTTGAATATTTCCAGTTCATCATATAAAATATTAGCGCTTTGTCAAGAAAATGAAAATGTCTTTTGCATTCTGTAATAGAATTACATATAACAGTGATTTCCTAAATGGAAAAGAAAAAGCATGTCTTTTATTTCTGACCCATAGCAGATGGAATTATTGATGGTTGCTGATTTCTAGTAACTTGCGTAAGTTTGACATATTAATTTGCATGGCTTAGGAAATAAAACTGCGGATAAAAAAATTAATAAATTAATAAGTCTTTGGCCGAGCTTTTCCACCAAATTGTGACCAGGGATCAGAGCCAGGACCTACGAAGTGGTAGTACCCACCTTCAGCCACTCGGCTACAATTACCGTCATGGTATTTTGTAATTTTACATTGGGAAATTTGGGATAATTTTTGATAAAAAAAGGGAAAATAAATAATAACATGTTGAATTTATTAGTGAAAATATCACTTTATAAAGTAATAAGGCCATAAAAAGAATTTTTAGCGACGCCAAAAATGCATAAATAGGCAGTCGATAATGCACCAGATCGTCAAAGTTGCATACATAAGCATAAAAAACACTCATAACAAGTACGATTGGGACTAAACCTGGCGGGCTACTCTGTAATGCGTTACGATAGGCAGATACGTCGTAAGTAATACGCTGTGGCGATTGCCTATCGCATTGCATTTCTCTTTCGCACCGCTTTACAGAGTAGCCCCCTCTGGGTTTAGGAGGAAAACCCCATTGTGGCCATGGTAAGTATTAACCAGAAAGAGCTTTCACCCTGTGTCCATATATACAAACTTTGAAAAGCATTTTACACATGTCTATCAAATGTCCAGCCCTGGGTACTGGAAAATCCAGGTAATCCTCTCCTGCATTGCTTAAAAAATATTTTTGTTTCTATTCTATATTTCCGCTTTTTAATTGTTTCCAAATTTTCGTGTATTACTGCCACATTAATGGAAGCTCGTATACACCGAGTCCACCAACTTTGCATACATTTATTTAAAACTGGCTTTATTGTGGTAAATATTTGGATTTTTCATGAATTACTTTTTCTTGCAGCAAATTTCTGTGTTCATATTTTTGCATTGACTTCAAGTTAGTATATCGATACTAAACATGGAGTTGAAAGCAAAATAAATTTATCACAAATAGTATTGTTATGGAGAACTGTAGGGCCTAAGAAGCATAATTGAAATTTCTCTGACAGGCTAACGCAATTCTAAACTTTCAATGCCAAACAAAGTTGGGTTACTCCCGTCATTTCTTTTTACAAAAAATTGTACAATGTGATGTGCCAATCTTGAGCGGCTATCTTTTACTAACGTCAATTTGTACAAATATGCGAAAATTTGCGTACATTCTTCCATTTAGTATCAATCTATTATGACTGATTTACATTCAGCCCAATTCTGAGTACTCCCAGGGAGTAGCATTTTCCCTGAAATTTGGGAGGAGAAAATTCGAACTTCCCAAGAGCTGTTTGAGAGTTTTTTGACAGCTCAACTCCACCATTTAATATAAAAAAAAAAATCCTCAGGGAATTTTTTTCATGACAGGAGGAAAGGGATAAGAGAGAACACTCCCAGTGTATACCAGTAGCATTACATTTCAGCGATCCAATTAGCGCTACAATGAAACTGGATTAATCTAATAAGCAGTGAAATGCACTGTATCCAATTAAATATACAATCAAGTAACTGGATATTAGCAATTTACTATTCAATCGAGTGTTGCAAAAATTTAATGAAGACAATTGCCATTCCAATCCAGTGCAGACTAGGCTGGTGGTATGGAGTGCTACGAGGATAATGTAGAGCAGCCATTATATTTTTTAGATTATTTTATTTTACGTTTAATTATACATAAAACTTAATAAATTTGCTTGCAAAAATATGCGATTAGGGTTATTGACATGCTCGCGTAATTTCGTTAATCCTATTACTTTTTATGGTAAGCTATGTGTTTACATACGCATACATACATATGTATCTGAACATTCATCCATATGCAAATACGTACATATTTATATACATAGTTTTAATTTACAACGCAAACATTTGCCCGTGAGAATTTCCTTTTTTGTTTGATCCCAGCGATCAATTTTTCCTGTTTTTACTTCTTTCAATTGCCTTAAAAATAATAGCCAAATTTTTTGAGGTTGTTTAAGATTTATATTTATAGTAGGTTTAATAGTTTTCTGTAAATGATAAATCTTTAAAAAAAATTAAGTGAAAAAATCTTTTTAGAAAATAAAACCTCCAAGTTATTGAAAAGCATGCAGAAACCAGTCAATTTATTCCCTTTTGGATTGTATTTTAACAGCCTTGTCAGGCATAGAGCGATACAACCCGGTCAGGGGTTAAAGATACATACTTACTTATATGTTTGCAAGTATTTATATGTATTTCGAAATGATTGAACGATCGGAATATGAAACTATAATTGACGGAAATGTCCAATATGCGCAACCACGCCGAATTGGAACTTAGTTGCGTAAATAAGGCATTTCCATCAATTATAGTTTACAAATAAAAGAGGCCGATGCTTTGGTTTGATGCATTTCTGAATGCACTCATACATAGAAACTATGCACATTGTCATCATCATCTTCAAAGCCATACATATTTTAAAAAGGACGATAGTTCTGAAAGCTTTTAAGCAGAAATTTAAAAATGTGTTTTGTTTCTTTTGAATTGATGACGACAATATCCTTCTTTCAACAAAAAAAAAAAAATAAAAATCATACATAAATAATAGGTTTGTTCCACAAGCTACTCGAAGTCACTTCGAGTTACACATACGCGTTCCACCATTAAGTTTTTGAGTTTTCTTGATATTCGCTGACAGTTTGAACTTTGCTCGAGTTTTTCTACAAGTAGCTTGTGGTACAAACCTTATACCGCACGTTTAATAACATAGGGAATAATTTCAAACTTTAAATTTTGATCAATTCATGCAGTTGGTGTACAAAAGGACAGATGAAAAGACATATCTTCGCCATTTTTCTGAAGTTTAGTTATATGGTAGACTGCGCCATTTAACGTCAATTGGAAATGCCAAGTAAATTCAAGTCCCTCTCCATCTGGTATTTCCAACGCAAAGGAGACCTTCCTCTTCCTCTGTTACCAGCATCAAGCCCAGCGTTGAATACTTTCAGAGCTGGAGCGTATTATCCCTATCACCTTTATTAATTGCATGATGAAATCTCAAAAAACTTTAATTTTTAATAAAAATTTTTGATTTAGTTCTCTATATTATTAAACGTAAGATATCGTATCTTTGCTGCAAGTTTCAAGATACAATAAAAGATTTTAATGCTGACTACACACCCATTAGGCAACCTGATTTTCTTGTTCAATACACACGAGGCAACCGTGGAGGCAACTATTAGGGCAACCTCAGTATGGCGTGCTCTGTTATGAACTTGCGGAAGAAAATTTAGTTTTCATTTCATTTAGTCACATCTTTTCAGCTCAGTTGTTTTCAACGAACTAAGCCAATAAAATCGATAAACAACGATACACACAAGACAACCGTGTGTAGTCAGCATAACGTTAGAGAAATATTGTTTTTTTTTTCATTAGAACTCTAATGTTCTTCGAATCCAAAATCACGTTAGAGAACTACATATGTATATGGGCAATTCTCACCAACTTCGAATTTTTTTTATTTTATTTTTTTTTTATCGGGAGCACATGTCTAAAATTTTTAGTATACGTTCAGCTGCTAGAATTCAAAAACCAACGCGGTGCAGCGTTTTAAAGAAACGCACCATACGTTTTTAACGTTTTTTAAGTGGAAAGTGGGCGTAATTTTAGTCCAATTTCGAAAATTTTCAACATATAGCTTTTTTATGCCAAGGTCAATAATTGCACTGAGTTTGGTACAAATTGATAAATCGGTTACCGAGATACACATACAGTGAACCAAACAAAAACTGGGACGCGACATTTTAGTAAGTTTTGGCTATTTTTCTTTAGTTTATTTAATGCTTATATTTTTTTTATGAAAGTATATCTGATTACTTAACAAACACGATATAAATCCAAATTTCAGACTTTGTGCAAAAATTATGAAAATTCAGCAAAGTTTGACCTAAGATTTACGCGAGCTGGACAGATTTGAAAATACCTCCAAAAATGGAGTCTTTTATGAATGACACTAGTTTCTTAAAGATTTTTTTTTTTGAAAAAATCCCCTCAAATGACAAAAACGGTTTAAGCTTAAAAAATTTGCATAGAAATATTAAAAAAAAAATTTAAAAAATTTGAACGGAATCGTAATGAGATTTTTTATGCTGTTTCTTAACTTTTTTCAAAGATTTGTAAACTCAAAGACCTAAACTCTTCCGATTTAGACTCATTTCTTCTTATTTCTTTGCAAATAAACTCATTCAAAGAATGAAAGAGAAAGGTAGGATGAACGAACGTCATTCAAAGTTGAATTAAGATGTGTTGGTTTTTGAAAAAAAAAATTGGGACATGAATTACTTTTTGGACAGAAATAAAACAGTGTAAAAATACCTTTCTACTGAGATCCCACAAGTCTAAATCGGAATAGTTTTGGCCCAGCTCTTCAGGTTTTTCGTAAATCAGTATTTGAAAAAAGTAAAAAAAAACAGCATGAAAAATCTCATTCCTACGATTCCGTTGAAAAGATTTTTAAATATTTTTATGCAGATTTTTTAAGCTTAATCTTTTTTGTCATCTGAGGGGACTTTTTTCGAAAGGTTCTTTAAGAAACTATTTTTATTCATAAAAAACTAAATTTTTGGAGGTATTTTCAAATCGGTCCAGCTCACTTAAATGGTAATATTTTTCCGAAATATTTTGGTGGACGTCTTTAAATATAATAAATTTTGTAATCCTGGTGGAAAAACCGCATTTTTTTTGGTAATGCAGTCTAATGCACATAAATCTATTAATGTTATATAAAAAGAATAAATTGTATTCAGCGCACAGTCTTATTTATAGATAATGAAAACAAACCCCGCGCAAAATCCCTTTTGGTTGCCATTATGTGAGCCAATTTTTCGTATTGCCCGTATCGCTACTCGCGAAAACACAGAAATCGAGAAAATTCATTTCTGATGACTTTTACAATCATGCACAGTATATTTTACTTAATTTTTTTTTTATAAAATTTGAATATCTAAATCCACGAAAATAACAATCGAAACGTTCTCCGTCAACAAATTTGCAACTTAGAAAAACGTAACTACGATCGAAATGTAGAATAGGTATAATCGTAAATTTCAAAGATTGATCGAAACGAAACGGGTCGCAGAATACCAAAGTTGCCAAACGCAGAAAATTTCGATTCGAGTCGAAATGTAGAATAGGGCTGAGTATATTGTACTATTGTACTATAGAGCACACAATATGCAATTTTACTTTTGTGCACGCATCGTAACCTTTTAAAGAAGTTGTTTTTTTTTTTTACTATTTTCTAATGAGCGCACAGAAGCCTGCCACGTCTAGATTAATTCCTCTTATGCCCGAGAACACTACAAAAGTCGTCCGATAACAGTTTTAGGTACGCGCCAGCTACAGTATACTATAAAAACCGCGAGTGTCAGAATTAAAAAAAGAAGTCACGCCACTTTGACTCTTCATAGCGTCTTTTCTATTGCAAGCACACAATTCTAACCGGCTGCATTCGATTTTCCTCTCCAAATACTACCAGTTAATTATAAACTCAAACATGGGTAATCAATGCACCAAATTTGCAACGTAAAAATAAAAAAATAATAGGAGTCACACTTTTATTTGTGAAAATATCCCAATTACATTTCTGAATTATATGCATATTTGGATAGAAAATGTACGGTGGTCCTTTTTTTTGCATTGACATAGCCTACACAGCTTATGTAACCAGCGAAAATTACATATGTGTCCGATTCAAAACTGGCGAGTCACGCGAAAGTTCGAACTAATTGAGAATTGGCCATGTACATATGTATGTGAGAATTCGATCAAAGAATTATTAGAAAGCATTCGAAATTAGAAACCACTTAAAAATCCAGATGAGAATACGATTAGATATCTAACCTTTATCTCGATATCGAGAACTAAGTACTCTTTTTGTAAAGAATGCTATAATTCCCAACAGTTTTTCTAATCGTCTTATAACATTCTACCGTAGAGAAACATATTAGAATTCGAAATGTTTTCAAATCTTCTCCAAGCTAAATGTTTCGATGTTGTGTAAAAATTTCAAAAAAAAAAAATTACAATTACCGATAGCTCATTAGAAGAAAATGTGTCTATTTTTACTATGAGAACTTTAAAGCAATTTTTCTCGAGTTTTTATTTTTTTTTATGGCTTATGACACTACTATTTATGCTGTTATAGGCGCTATAGACGGTGCGTCAGACTTACGAGTCATCTGTGAACGTGTTGATTCGACTTTATACTACACACAGTTCAGTTATTCAGACTCATGTCAGTCATTTTCACTAACATATTCAAACCGAATCGCTAGGCAGACGCACCGTGTATGCCGCCTATTCGAAAGGCAATAGCTATATAATTGTTCAATCAAATTCGGTATAAATAATGGATTTGAAAATTTCCATCAAAATAAATTTTCATATTGTATTTTATTTATTCCTTTTTGTATTTATTTAATTAGTCATTTCATTAAATTGTCTGCCAACTAAATTCTAATAATCCAAGCATAACATTTATTTGATTCAGTATTTGTACAGTCCGAAAATAACCCAATACCTACAGAGTATACAGATCGGCTTCAAATGGGTATGTACAGTTCATTCTTTTTTTTTTAAAACATCTGATCAAATACATAAAATTTAGAACGCAATTTGTATACATTAATTCCGATCGCTCCCAAAAAAAAGTTTTAATCGACTGTCTTGGTGAATGAATATCAGCTGGCGCAAACATAATTAATTGCCAGTAAATTCTTAGCTTTAAATTAATGTTAGCCAATTTTCGCTGGATTTTACAAGTCAATTTCAAACAGAATATTTTTTCCCAGCTTCTTTGTTTATGCGTAAGGGCTCTTTACATTTGTATCGTTTTTTTGTATTACTAAATTTAAGCATAATTTTTTAATTTAATATTAAGTATAATTAGTTGTTAACATTTAATTTTTGTTTACTATGTATATTCTAATGACAACTATAATTATTTAAATACAATGTATGTATGTATTTTTTGTTTGTTTTTTCTTTTCATCGCTTTTTCCAATATGAAATCTAAAATTAATCTGCCGATAAAAAAAAATTAAAAGCATAAACTTATGCATACTTTTTACAATGCACACAATCTCTCCCTACCCACCCTTTGTGTTGTGCGCAAAAAAGGACGACAAAAACAACTTAAAGCAGTATGTAATATAAACGCAGCTAAAGAAACAAATATCTCTTACAATGAACATAGACATACATTGTTTATGCTTTGCCCTTCTCCATTCCCAATTTTCTTTACTTGTATTTTATTTAGATAAAAAAATAATATGTATTTGTTGAAAAATTTTAAAGAAAATATTTTGTTGCTGTTTTTTCTCTTTTATATATATATATATATATATTTAAAGTAAATTAAACGCACAGCGAAATTGCCATTTAGATATATATATATATTCATGTGAATTACAAAGTGTCATTACAATAAGAAAACCCACATTTGCATATTTATCGGTATGAGCATTACGCCTGACTGCTTGCTGTCTTTCACACAAAAATATTCAACAAAAGGAAACTTGTAGATTTGCTACACATTCAGTTGTGTTAAAACGCAAAAATATTTCTACTCACTTTTTTCTGAAATTTGCAACTCCAACTATTTCCGTACTATCACTGCCTCTACAATTAGAGCTTAACTATTTCTGTGTTTTAATACAACAGAAATTTTAACCGAAACTGGGAAATTATTGTTTTTAAAACAAAGGTTCTACCACAAACCGGCAGCAATTCGCGCACACTAAGTATTAATGCAACGCAGCATTAAGTGGTTCTTTTAAATCATCAACTGTAGAAAAACATAGTTTCAGCAATTTATTTCAAAGCAAAGCTACATCAATCTCTGACGATTTATACTCCCCCGTTAGGACGCAAAATCATTAAACCATAGTTTTTAGTAAGATTCTAGTGTTTTACTTGCTATCGCTACCTCACAGTGCGCCGGTTTCGTTCACCCCCGCCACCGCCACCTCGATCTTCACTCTCGCCACGCCACTCTGGATCGTTTGGATCGTCGTCGGCGAATGGATCACTATCTGTTGTCTCCGCGTCACTGTCCCGATGTCGGCGGCCCAGATATGCTTCATACTCGTCCTCGATATCCATCATACGGTTACGTGCGTTGCCATTCAACGCAACACCCCCGCCCGCATTGCCTGAACCGCTATCCAAGAGATCATCATCGGGCGCTAAATGATGCTTTGGGTAGTCGTAATCATCGGCCTCCTCGGCCAATAGCATCATTAAATCGACATCGTCGTCTTCGGCGTCTTCTTCCTCGTCACCGGCATGCACGCCATTCATCAATTCATCATTAGTTTTAGTAATGGCATTATTGCCTCGTCGACGTCCTCGGCCACCGTTGATACCTTTGCGGCCACTACTACCACCATTGTTATTTATTCGCTGTTTTCTACTACTTGTTACATCACAGTTTTGCGTTGTAGAGGCTAACTTTCCACGCCTGATGCTTACAGCCGACACATCACTGCGCCAGCTGCTGCGTTGACGGGAATATTTGGAACCACTGACGGCACCGCCAGTGTTGTTACAGTCTTCTAAATACTTGGCGTCGAAATCCAAACAATGAAATTCAACGGGCATTGCTTTAAGCAAACCTTCAAACGCCTCATCGGTAAGTGGGAATTGCAAAGGTTCATAGGGCGGCACGAGCTGCATGTTAATGGTAGTGAAAGAAAGAGCATAAGAATGGTACCGATAATAATTAATTAATTGGTCAATTACGAATTGCAACCGAACTTCAGTGGAGTTGCCAGTGTCTGAAAATGTATTACAAATGGCAACTGGCAACTGAAAGCTGGCAACTGAGATGCTATATTCACAACCGAATTTTAGTGGTTGCTACGAAACTTTTGATTAAATTTTTTATTATTTTTTTCAACTGCTTCTGCAGCTTCATTAAACTCAAGCCTTGGAGATAATTTAAGTAGACCTTCTTAAGTAAAGCCATTCTAAGAGGCCTACCCAAGAAGGGCTGAAAAAAGTGCCACCTTGCATGCCTTGCATGCCCTTCTAGAGGGCTTATCCGTTTACAATTTACGTGAATGCATAAATTTATATTATTTAGCATTACAAATGAATTACAATAAACATTTTAGGTTGCAATAACACATATTTGATATAAACGTTAAGCAAATAATTCAAATATGTATGATTGTTATAAATTAAAGAAGCAGATCTCCTCCAAAAGCTCCTTCTGCAAGGCCTTCCATGAGTAGCGAAAGAAAAAGCCCTTCAATTTGTGCCACTCCATACAAAAGAAAAAGGAGAAAGGAATGTAGAGTGGAAGTCCTCTTGACTCTCAGGAATGCCTTTCGGAAGGGCTTTTAACTCCTGAAATTATCTACTGGGTGTAGATGCTATTCATACTGCCTTATCCTGAGTTTCACCAAAAAAAAAAATCATCCAAAAATTTGAATTCCACGCATAGTAAATAGTACATGAAAACCAAAAGTGAAAAGTGAGCCGGTTTGGGGAAAATGAAACTCATGATAAGGATATATATACATTTTCATTTCAGTGAGTTGCCCATCGGCAACTCAACTGAGGTTGCGCTGCTATCCATATTCGACCCATAATATTTCATATAATTAGTCTCGGCCCAAACCGACGAACGGTTATAGAGCCAAATAAGAAGAATATTCCGTACCTCTCTGGGGTCTGGTGTGGAACTTCGTCGCTCCAGTTCACGCTCCCTTTTCGTCGACGTTGTGCGCCGACGTTCCAAACGTTTGCTCAAATCATTACTATTGGTATTATTTGCAGCGCTGATGATGGAGTTTGCTGGAAGATTACCTGTGACAGAAGATTATTATGTTCAAATTCTGTTTATTCTCGCAAAGTTATCTCCATTTTACTTACTTGCACCATTCTCGCCCGCTTCCGAAATCGTATCCAATGGATTAAGAGGTGTACATGGCGCCAGAGGCGACGGAATGCTCTGTAAACCAAGAATTGAATATTAGTTAAATATATGTATATGTTATCTTCAAATAAATGGGCTTAAAAATTTACCTCCTGATCACCACCACCTAAACTTTGTGGCGCCGGAGAAGTAGGATCCGGCGTATTGGCGCCACTTGACTCGGCGCGACTGTCGATGCGCCGATTAGCCCGCGAACGTGTGCTCCATGGGAACTTCAAATACGTTTGGAATTTGCGGCGCTCTTCAGTCAGTGCGCGTTCATGTCGCAACATGATGGCATCATATGTGATGTCTTCCGGCTCTGCTGCTTCAGCAGCGGCATCGATGTCGAAGGACTCTTCTTGAATGGTGCTAACTCGCTTGAATCGCTTTGCCCGTTTGAATGCAGCCGTTGCTTCTGTTTTAGGAATTTTTGATGCGGCAAATGTCGAATTGCGTACATTTTCTGGTTTGACTTCAACCTTGTCTACACTTGACATTTTGTTATCGTCATTATGCTCTGTTTTCGCTTTCTTTACCACTGGTTCGTCCGATATAGAGTCGACTGCCGTAGACGTATTTTGAACTGTTATGTTCTTGTTTTCAGTTTTTACCAAAGCATTACAATCATTTTTTATAAAGTTATTGTTTCTTTGTTCTGAGATTTTTGTGGTACTAACAATCGGCGCCCCGCTCTTAATCAAGGCGTCTGCTCCATCGGCAGTTTCACTCCCATTACAGACATTCAGTTTTCCACATTCCTCTGTTGCATTTACTACTTTTGAAGTTTTCTCTTCTACCGCTTTAATATCCACTTCTAACCCATTAACTACATCTACTGAATTTCCAGATTTACTATCACTTGATGTCTTACTTTCTACAAGCATATTCTCGCATCCATCAATGTCCATTCCTTCACCGCTATCACATTTAGCGACTCCTGAAGCCGAAGCAGTCTCCATTGGTTCATCCGATAACATAACAGTACGCCCACGATCTTCATCAATAACGCGCCATCTTAAATTTCAAATGTGATATAAATTAAATCCAAGTGATTTTTAATTAAAATCAGGAAACCAAAATCAAAATAGTATACCGCTTATTAATTAAAATCAAAAAACCCAAATTAAAATAGTATACCTAACAAAAACAAAAAGAGGACTCTCCTTAGCCTTTGGTAGGTTTATTATGATTTTATATCTTTTTCGTATGTACATACAGCCCGATTCACTTGAATAGGTACTAGAGATGTTAATTTTTCGGCTTTTCCCGATCCCGGGATTTTCAGGGGTGCATAAAAATTGGAAATAAAACCAATTTTGCCCCATTTCCCATTGCTTATTTATATTATTTGTAAAAAAAAAAAAAACAATTTACCGACAGAAGGAAAAAGAGCTTTGTTTATTCCAAAAATACAATTAAACCAAGGCACATTGAACAGGTAGTATCAGTACAGAGCTGGGTCGTAATGATTCCTTTAGGAATTAAATTACTCCCAATTACAGATTACAAGGAATTGTAATTAGGAATCAATTCCTTCAGTCCACAGCAAAGGAATCGATTACTTTTTCAATTCCTTGAAGTAATTTCAAATGTAATTGGGTTTTTCTTTAATTCCATTACAAGGAATTTCATATTGTAATTGGAATAAATTACGTGCTAGTAATGTAATTTTTTTTCCAATTCCTTTGAAAGGAATTGAAAATGTAATTGATTTTTTTTCAATTCCATTACCTGGAATTGCAAGAGTACTTTAGTTTTTCCAATTACTCAAAGGAATTGTAAAAGTAATCGAGAAACTGAAAGTTCATTCACGAATATACAATGTGGAATTTTTGTTGTGGTCAAAGATTAAAATCGAAAGCACACATTGGACTTCTTATATGTATATCTATATATATATATATAAATGTTGTGTTCGTATGTCACGGTCATCAAAACCCGAGAACGGCTGAACCGATTTGAATAATATTTTTTTTATTATTCGGTATAATACCAGAACCAATGATATCGCAAAAATTTGGTGGGTTACCACCTATTTTAAAATTTAATTAATTTAAAAGCAATGAATTATTACAATATGGGTATTAAGTTAAAGAGGTTTAAGAAAGATAACTGCTGGAAGTATTTTTGACGAGGGTGGCCTCCTATTTGAAAATTTAAACTCAGTCAAATTGTTAAAAAAAAATAAATATTGCCATGTGGGTGTCAAACTAAAGAGTTTTAAGAAGGCTTACTGCCGAAAATATGTTTGAGGAGGGTTGCCATCTGTTTGAAAATTTAACTAAATTACATTGATAAAATAAATAAAATATTACAATATGGGTATCAAATTAAAAAGGTTTGAGAAAGATAACTGTTGGAAATATTTTTGAGGGGCTGCCACCTATTTGGAAATTGTAACTCAGTTAAATTGATAAAGTAAATGCAATGTTGACATGTGGGTGTCAAACTAAAGAGTTTTAAAAAGGCTTACAGTCTACCATGAACACTTCCAGAAATATGCAATATGAAAAGTTCGGTTTATATGGGAGGTGCCACACGCCATTCTCCATGCAAATTTTTCTCCATGAGTATGGAATTGGTCTTATATATGTATATAGATGTGGGAAATGATGTAGGCGGCCATCGACATACAAACATACAAGTA